ATGTTCTAACCAACTGAGTTCACCAACCAGCCCTAAATTGTCCACTTTTCAAAAAATCAAACTTGTGAGACCTGGGAGGAAATAGGAAAGTCTGACCTATACTGAGGAAAAAGAGCGGTCAACAGAACCTTTCTGGGAGGAGGTCTGGACATGGGACTTAATGACTTCAAAGCAGCTATTACGAATACGTTCAAAGAGTTAAAGGCAAGTATGATGACAATGACTCATTAATGAGGATCTTAAGAAAGAGACAATAATTATAGGAAGGAAAGAAACCAAGGTAAGTTCTGGACTTGGAAGCCCCCCCCGGGCACCTGAGCTCCCACAATGCCCTGTGCTTCCTGCATTGTGGCACTGACCACTCTGAGTTGCCTCCCTGTTTACATGACTGTCTCCCCATCCCAGTCTTTTTTTTCTTGGTGGCTGACCAGTATGCCCAGCCCAGTCTTGGCTCCTTATGCAACAGGACCCAGTTGAACAAAGGATGGGGAATGGCACTGACAAGTAGAGCCAAGCACCTGAACTTGGGGTCAGATGGTGTGTGGCCTGGGAAAGTCCTTTTCCTCTGTTGGGGCCTTAGTATCCTCCTCTGTGAAATGGGCCCCATGGGTTCTGATGACGGGAGGAGGACAGGGACCTGGGCATAGTGTGGTTCTCACTGCTTCTGCAGGCAGTGGAACCCAGGTGGCCAGGAATAAGTTCAGTGGATGGCGAGGATGCAAGTTTTGCTGTTGGTTTAATTTATTACTGTTTGACATCCAGTGACACTGACATACCCCCGCCGGGTCTGCGGCCCCTGGGCCCCGGCAAGTCTGACCTGTCCAGTAAAATACAGTACGAGGAGTGGACGGCCACACACATGCATCCACGGCTTAAACTACAGTGATTTCAAACTGCGGCGGCTGCAAGGGCACTGCCGGGAAAGGAAAAGAAAAACAGGTATCGCGTGTTCCCCAATCATTCTCTCGTTTAAACAATTAATGCTGTTATGAATGCTACTGATGCCAGGACAGCGCCAGACACAAACAGTCCTACATCTTCTCTGCTGTATAAATATGGAAGAGTTTGTGTTTATACAGTTTTACCCCAAGTCTGAAACTACGTCTGCTGCTACCCATGACTGCTAAGGGCTACACCGTCTCGGCTCTGGAATGAGGGGCTCGGGTCGAGACTCTGGAATGTCGGACTCAGTCTTCCTCGCTGCCACTTCCTGAGCGGTCCTGGAGAGGGGACAGGAGGAGAGAGCGTGAATTGGCCCTGCCTGCCAGGGCACCCTAACAGGCTGACTTGGGCTTTAAAGATACTTGCTCAATGAAACCCTGAAGCAGGTGACAGAACCTCTTTCCCCAGATGTGGGCATGCAGCAAGGGGGGCCCTGAGGCTGCTGTGGCCTCAGTCCTGGCTGCAATGGCTGCACCCCAGCCTTACTTTTTGGGGGGCAGCTGACTGGTACAGGGATTGAACCCCAGACCTTATCACCCCATGCTCTAACCAACTGAGCTAACTGGCCAGCCACCCAGCTTCACTTTTCTCCCGTGCACTGGACTCTGCACCCACACACAACTCTGTCTCGGAATGTGGGAGGCAGACTCAGCTCTCCCTGCTCTGTCCCACTGCTGTCCTTTGTCCTTGTGCTCCTAGCCCAAGGCTTCGGGACCACTGAGGTTCTTCCTGACTATGGAAGATCTTTGCTCTTGTAGATAAAACATTTTAAACAGCGTGGTAAGGGCCACCAAACATGCTGCTGGATCCAGACTGGGCAGAGGGGAGGCTGTGATAACCCAGACCTTCTACCCAGACACATGGGCCACCCTTCCCTGTGGTTAGAACTTCATTAACATCCTCAAAGGTCATGTGTATCTTCTGTCACATTTACTTCTAGGCACTTCGTTTTGTTGCTATTACTATGAGGAAATGGTGCTGAACTTTGGTGGGAGCTAGTCCCTGAGCTGTACCTTCCGTAACCTGCATGAGCTCCCCACTTTGCAGAAGAGACAGAGGCCCCACTGCAGGGAAGGGCCAGAAATACAGGTCAAGGCTTATTTACCTCCCCCCAACTCAACAGAGAACCTGCCCTTCCTGCCTCTGCCTGGGAGCTGAGTGTCTTGGCTGGCAGGAGCGGGATAGTGGCTGCTCTGCAGGCTGCTTCCAGAACCCGAGGCCTCACGTGTCCCCACCCATCCCTCACACACCCGCAGCACTAAAAGTGCTGGTGCCAACTTCAAACAGACTTGATGGCTCTGCCATATGCTGACCTGGGGTGAGCCACGCAAGGCCGAGCCTCAATCTCCCGACCTGTGGAGTGGGGGTGTTGGGGCATCTACACTCACAGGGCTGCTGTGTCAGGACCCAGCCCCCCACCCATCCCTCACACACCCGCAGCACTAAAAGTGCTGGTGCCAACTTCAAACAGACTTGGTGGCTCTGCCATATGCTGACCTGGGGTGAGCCACGCAAGGCTGAGCCTCAATCTCCCGACCTGTGGAGTGGGGGTGTTGGGGCATCTACACTCACAGGGCTGCTGTGTCAGGACCCAGCCTGCCTCCCGCAACCCCGCTGGTGCCAGGGCCTCACCTCCTCCTGCTCCTCGTCACTGTCATCGTCACTCACGACCGGCTTGGCCCGGGACCCACGGCTCGGCCGCCGCCGGCCTCCCTTCAGCCGATCCTGTGCCTTCTCCTTCCGGCCGAGCTTGATCTTCACTTTGACTGAGCGGGCTGCAGAGGGGGACAGGGGTCAGGTCTGGGGTGTGGCGCCCCACCTCCCCAGCAGGCCTGCCGTCCGGAACCCCCACTCACACTCAGACTCGGAGCCTTCCTCCTCGCCCTCCTCCTCCTCCTCGCTCTCCTCGCCTTCGCTGTCGTCCTCCTTCTCAATCTTCTGCCTCACACTGGTGAACACTGACTGCAGGACGATGGAGTCCTCGTAGATCTGGGCAGAGACATGAGGGGCTTGAGTGGGGGTCTGATGGCCAGCTGCATGATCCTGTCCCAGTGGGCACCCCCAAGAGCACTGGGCTTGTAAAACGCTCCAGGACACAAGTCAGGGACATTAGTCCGTGAATGGCCGTGAGTGCTTCTTCCCCCACTTTGAAGAATCCCAGTGGGCACCCACTTTTAAAGGCTCTGGGAAGATCTGTGGCAACATCAGAAGTGCATGTCCCCTACTGGAGCCAGCATTTTCCACCAACTTGTCAAAGCAAAATAAAACCCCATTTCTGGGAAGCGGCCACCCCAAACACAGGTAGGAAAACTTTGCCGAGTTGAGGATGTGTGGGGGCTGTTGTGTATATGTGAATTTCATTACAGTAAAACATAAATCCACAGGATTCCTTTCAACAGAGCACCCTCAGGAATTTAAAATAAAATTCCAGTGGCTCATGGGGCCATTGGGATGGGGGATCTAAGGCTATTTTTTCTATTGTTCTCATCTTTATTTTCTTCAATAAATAAGTGTTCCTTTCATAAATTTTTTTTTGTTCTGGTGGCTGGCTGGTATGGGGATCCAAATCCTTGACTTTGGTGTTATGACACTGTGCTTTAACTGACCGAGTTAGCCAGCCCCGCGTTTGTAATTAGTGAAATACTCCAAATAGTTGGAATTAAAAAAAAAAAAAAATCTATCCATTCAAAAGGAACCATGGGACACACTGGCCTAGAGTCCAGCTATGACTGCCCCCCTCCCCCCAGCCCCTGGCCACCCCTCACCAGGGAGCCCTCCAGGTTGAAGGCCTGCGCGTTCTGGCACAGCAGCATGACATCCTTCTCCAGGTCGCCCAGGCTGCGGTACTTGTGATTGCGGATGCGCTCCTGTAGGTGGGGGTGTGGGCAGGTCTTAGCTAGGGCCCCCACCTTGCCTGCCCGCCTACCTCACCATGGGCCTGTGGACCCAGCGGGCTGGGAGCCCTCCTGCTCGTGAGGACACGGCTGAGCCTCTGGTCCCCTCCTCTGCAGACACCTGGAAGCCCAGCTCACTGGACACAAGAATGGCAGGACTGAGGCCCAGGGCTGTGGGCAACCTCCAGGGAGCCCCCAATACTGGCTGCCCACTGACACCCCATGGGACACTCTCCCCCAACATGGGCCACTGGGACCCTTAAGGCCACAAGGAACCCCAAGAGTCAGTGACCAGGTCCTTAACCAGGTGGCCCAAGTCCCTGCCCAGGCTGTTCTCTGATCATCTCTCCCAGACGCCCCTGTGGCTCTCAGATGGGGGTGTCTGTGGAAGTCCCTGGGTCAGATCCCCAGCCCCACTCAGCCAGGGTTACCTTTATCTTCTTAAAGTCCACGGGCTTGCGGATGAGCTCATAGTACTCAGGCAGCTCCTTGCGCGAGGGGAGCTGGATGAACACCTCACTCAGCTGCCGTCCACTGCTACTGCAAGACAGGACACGACGAGCATCACTCCAGGGCCCCATGCCTATCCAGGGTGCTTCCACGCTGCCCTGCAACAACCACCCCTGATTCCTCCAGTGTTCAAGGACAGCGGAGACGAGAATTCCAAAGTAGACTCAGTAGTTATTTCTCATACATGGGCTGGCTTGTGACTTCTGGAACATTCCCAAGTGGCAATCACAGGCAGAGGCCCAGGATGCATTTGAATCTCGGCTCTGTGCTCACCTGTGATTGATCTAATGCCTCCAGCCCTGGAGGAGATCTCACTGAGCCCTCACACAGCACCAGGGGCATGTGCATGCCCCACAAAACACAGTTATTCACATAATTGCAAACCGAGCGCTTGTGCTGGGAGCCAGTGACCTTCAGAGAATCTGGCAAGAACCTGCGGAGGAAAGATGCCCCCTGGCAAGAGGCGAAGGCTTTCCACCGAGAAAGCACTTGTTTGCTTCAAGAGAGCCAGCGGCCATGAGGTGCAATTAGGCCTCTAGCACCTGTCTACTGGCTCCACACTGGGGAATGTGGTGGGGACAAGAGCTCTAAGCACTGACATTGCTCCTGGAGTGGTAAGGGAGCCATCCGTTCCAGAGACAGGTCCAGCCAGGGGACGGGTCCCGAGGAGGAACAGGCCCTTCACTGTATGACGCCACCAGGAACTGACAGGAATGAGGGAGAAACAAATCTCACTAGTGAAGCCACCCTTTGTCTCGGTAATCCTCACTTCATCTCCAGGAACCAGCAATCCCAGCTGGCCTGCCCCAGGGGGTCCTGCTGGGTCTGGAGAGTTCAGTGGGAGAGTTGGGTGGATGGAATGAGGAGTTGCTCTGGCGGGTCGGGCTCCGAGGGCAGCCGTCCAAGGAGCTGGGTGGCCCAGTCTCAATCCTGGCCCTGGTCTCACTTGGGTCCAGCTGCTTCCCAACGACCGGGGCTTTCCAACGCCAGACCCCGGAGACTGCTGGCAGTGGGAAAGGGCTGGCCCAGGCGCCCTCTCTCCCCACACATCCTGTTCAGCTTCTCAAAAGAAGCAGAGCCTTGCTCCTCAGAGACGGCTGATTTTGTCTTTTTTTTTTTTTTTTTTTTTTTTTTTTCGGCTGCACCGCGCTCAGCCAGTGAGCGCTGTGAGCGCACCAGTCATCCCTATATAGGATCCGAACCCGCGGCGGGAGCGCTGCTGCACTCCCAGAGCTGCACTCTCCCGAGTGCGCCACGGGCTCGGCCCTGATTTTGTCTTGATGCTGCTATTGAACTGAGCCCCTTCGGGTCCTGACAACTTCGAATGCCTCACCAGCACTGCTTCTTTCCTTATTTTCTTCTCAAGAAAATCCCAAAGGACAGAGCAGCCTGCCTCACAATCCCGCCGTCTCCGCCATCTGTCTGGGCGTCCTGAGTGCATCCAGTTCTTGTTTCTGTTTGTTTACTGTCCTGGAAGACAGCAGTGACAACCTAACAGTTTTGTCACAGGAGGCTCCTGCACTCACAGTGTCAGCGATGGGCGGATCCACCAGGCCTGACTTCCTGCAGCCGATCCTGTGGGGACCCTGGGCAGCCTTTTGCTCACTTTGGAGTTTTTTCTTTTGTCAGTTGGCCAGTACGGGGATCCAAATGTTTGGCCTTGGTGTTACAACACAGCACTCTAACCAACTGAGATAACCAGCCAGCCCATGGTGTTTCTGTGCGTCACCAAGTCCCTGAGCTGGCCCCCAACACAAAAGCCTCCTGAGACCCAGACCCAGCAGGAATCCTGTCCCCATACCTCCCTGCCCTTGATCACTGCAATCACCTTTGGGCTGTGTCTGGCAGCAAGCCGGACACACTTTACACACACCAAGCCCTGATGGAGGAGCAAAGGTTGTTCAATTGTTCTGATGAGGAAACAGGTAGAAGTTTCAGAGCCCACCTCCAGCCTCTGCCTTTGAGGCCTTTCCTTGACCAGTGTGCAAGGCAGACAGGTCCCCTGGTGTGTGCTGAAGAAGTGCTGTCTCCCCATTTGCTTACAGGCTGCATCTCCAGCCACATCCCTGGTCCTGTGTGTGGTCCCAGAGAAAGGAGGACACGCCCCCTCCAGGCCTGGAGGTCCTGTCTCCCCCAAACAGGCTTGTGGGTGGTTTGGCCACAGGTAATGGAATCGGTAAACCCAGTTTATAAGCTCTGAAACTAAGAGCATGTAGCTAACACGCTTGCTGCTCTGCCTTGGATAAGCAGACCTGAGGCTGTGGAGAAAGATATAGACTGTCCTCTGATTTGGTAACTTCAGTCCTACAGCCCAGGCAGAGCCAGGTCTGTGCCTATCCCTCTCCTAAGCCCGCACCTCCTGCTCTCCTTTCTATGGAATTTTCTAAGCAAAGAGCCCTCCTGTCACCTCCCCCCAACAGCAGCGTTGCCCTATACCTTTGATCGTGAGGTACAGCAAGAGCTACATTTTACATTCTGATCCACGACACACAGGCACAAGCTTAAATGACAGAGGTTCCTGGATGTAACAGTCTCTCTTAAGCTTTGATCGTGAGGTACAGCAAGAGCTACATTTTACATTCTGATCCACGACACACAGGCACAGGCTTAAATGACAGAGGTTCCTGGATGTAACAGTCTCTCTTAAGAAGTGCAATATATTTGGGTATTTTCCTTATTTCCTTTTTTAGAAATGCCAGTTGTCACCCTCTAAATTCACTTCACAGCTCATTAATGGTGCAAACCCTCAGCATGAAAAGCTCTGTTTGTGGGGATATGGAGGGCGTGCTGTGCACTGTGGCCAGGTTAAGAGGGGCGCATGGCCCTCGCCCCGGTGGATGGCTCCCTGTCAAGGGAGCCCAGGAAGCAGGACTCTAGTGCTATGATACAGCGGAAACCCTCTCTCTCTCTCTTCCATCAGCAAAGAATGGGAACCAAGCAGGCCTCTTATAGACCTCTGCAGAGCTATGCCCTGGAGGAACAAAGGCCCACCCAGCCAGCGGCCTGATGACCCTTTCTCTGACACAAAGAGATATGAGGGTGGACGGTGCGGAAGAGGTGCATGTGAGGGAGGGACAGGGCACCAGGACCACAAAGGCCTCCTGGAAGGCCACTGCCATCAGACAGTAGTTGTCCCAGTGCTGAGATGTCATTTCTAATCCTTGGAAGTTGCCTACCTTCAACTCTTAGGGGTGGCTGCGGCAGGCTTGGTGCCAAGAGCTAGCTCCCTGACTCTCCTCCCCTCCACGTCAGAGGTGGGCATGTCGCAGCTGCCCTCCTCGACCAGGCCTGGCTGCCTGTTGCCTCTGCTGTCAGCCCCCAGCTCCCCCTCCCATCTCTTAACACAAAATGTAACCCCAGGGAGGTGCGCCTGGGTCTCCTGTCAGTCCTGCCCCCAGCACTGACCCCGGGCACTGGCACTGGCTGAGTGTGAGGGGTGGGGGTGGAGGTCCCATGCCAGGCCTGGCCATCCCGCTCCGCCATGGCTGTCCATGAGGTCTGCTTACACACTGCGATGGTTGCTTTGCGCCTGTGTGGGCACACACTGGGCCACTTATCCAGCACTGCTGGTGGGTGTGTGGGCTGTGTCCAGTGCTGGGTTCCCATGCTCCTGGGGATTCATCTGGGAGAGGAAACTCTTGGTCATACGGTGGGGAAACGCCAGCTCTGACAGATACTGAGGCAGCGGTTGCCCCACCCGCAGCAGGTGAGAGGCCCTTGTCCTTGTTCTTGGCAGCCACACTCTGTAGCAATCCTTACGCCGTGGGTGTGAACTGCTCTCTCTCTGCAGTTCTATTTCACGTCTCCTTGGTATGTAATGAAGCCCAGCACTGCTCCCCAGGCTGCAGGTCTTTGAAAAGCCTCTTTCAAGCAGAGCCTCCTCACGTCTTTGCCAGCCCCCGCGGAGTGCTCTGTTGGACGAGTTCACTGCAAACACCCGCTCTAATCCATGGCTTTTCTCTTTACCCTCTTAATGGTGTCTTTTGATGAACGTATCCAAAATTTTAATTAAGTCCAATTTACCAATATTTCCTTTTATTCTTGGTGCTTTTCACGTCCTGTTAAAGAAATCTTTGCCTACCCTAAGGTCAGAGATTTTCCATTTTCTTCTAGAAGCTTTGATATTTTCCCTTTTTCCATTATTAGATGTGAGGCCTGTTCCCCAGATTAGTTTTTCTTCATAGCAATTCTCGTTGCCCCACCATGTCCTGTCTGTCCTTTTGTCTTCGCCAGACAGAACACAGCCGTAAGGGCCCAGGCTGGGTCTGATTATCCATCACTAGCATCCAGAACAAAGCCTGGTATACATTCGGAGATCCCTAAACATTTGTCGGATGAAGGCAGAAATGAACAAAGGTGGCTTAGGCTGAAAGTTCTGGGGTCACAGAGTAGGAGTTTTTGTTTTTGTTTTTTTTAAAAGATGACCAGTAAGGGGATCTTAACCCTTGACTTGGTGTTGTCAGCACCACGCTCAGCCAGTGAGCGAACCGGCCATCCCTATGTGGGATCCGAACCTGGGGCCTTGGTGTTATCAGCACCGCACTCTCCCGAGTGAGCCACAGGCCGGCCCACAAAGCAGGAGTTTTAACCTGGGTCTCACCAATGTCGCCTCTTACCGAGGTGCCTCACTGCCCCCACTCTGAGAGGTCACTTATCCACCACCCTGTTCCAGAAAGGACTCCGGCAGCAATTACAAAGAGCTGCCTGCACAGTGTCATGTCATGTGCCCACAATAGCCTCCTGTCTTCATGAGAGCTGCTCTGAGGAAAAGCCTCTGCAGGCAACAAGCTTTTTGGAAATCCATTCACCTCCAAGCCTCCCCATGGTGGACATGGGGGCAAGGGATCCTGGAAGAATCTTGAGACTTGCAGACCCAGCCCTGGAACCCAACTCAGACATAAAGGAAGGAAGCACTCGCCACAGCCCTAATGCCTCCCAGCCCAGGCTCCACTTGATTTGGGAACAGCTAATGACAGAGATGATGATGAAGAATCCGTTATTCTCCTGCCGCTAGACGTCAACTCCTGGAG